TTTTAGGATATCTATAAAATCAGTTCCTTACTCATGTTAAACTTCTGTATATGTGAATGCTGGAATCAATTCATCCTCTTTTTGGCTTATAGCAGTTCTACACCGAGTAGAATCACTTTCCTCTCACAACTATACTCAAAGAGAATTTTTCTCCTTGTACCACTAACCTGACTTTGGCATCATGACTATCTAAAGGCAGGCTCAACTCCAGAAGCTGGTTTGGATCATCTATTTTTTAATGAATATTGTATCACAATTCCCTTCCAGTAGCACAAATAACTGAAAACTGACTATGAGGCACAGGCACAAAATAAATAGACTGATCTCCCAATTACCCTGCATATGATGGAAGGCTGAATCAACAGATGGTTACTAAAACAGTCAGCCTGGGCCGGCTCCGTGGCTTAGCGGTTAAGTGCGCGCGCTCTGATGCTGGCGGCCCGGGTTCGGATCCCGGGCGCGCCCCGAGGCACCACTTCTCCGTCCAACGCGAGACCGAGTCCCACGTAGAGCAACTAGAAGGATGTGAACCTATGACATACAACTATCTAGTGGGGCTTTGGGGGGAAAAAAATGAATAAATAAAATCTTTAAAACAGTCAGCCTGTTGGTAAAACTAAGTTGTTCAATGCTAGGATATCCCTTTCTAGACAGATTTGAATTTTACTTGCAAACATTATAACATGCAAATTTCATGTTTATTTTTCATTCAAGAGAGAAAAATCATCATGCTTGATTATTTGATATATTAAATTATATAATTTAAACATGCAAAACATAGAATGACAGTGGGAATTTAGTCATTCAAATATCTGTCAATATCATTGGATCTAACACTGATAACTTCTGGCAAGCTTTTAATGTACATTTAATTGAACGAAAATAAAGATATTCTCTTAAAGAGCTGCATAATCAAAGAATAAATTCTTCATGGTATAATTGCCTACGGTCTAAAAACCTTATTACTTCTCAATTCTCTGTGATATCAATAATGAAAGTTTCTTATTTTCCAGGGCTCAACCTACTTCATGTTTGGGAAATGAAGATACATTTCTCTAAAATAACCAAAACCAAAACAACAAAAAATAATCTAGCCAAAGAAATTCTTAGCAGCATGTGGTATCCAATTCAAATAGAAAGTACTATAGAAAATTCTAATTCGAGTGGACTGGTTTTAATCAGAGCCAAAAAATTAAGAGGACAGAAATATAGAGATGGTAAAGTATGGAAACAAATGGTTCCTTTTGTACAATAACAGCTCTTTTATTTTGAGAGCAGATATCTAATCTAGTAACTTCACTTATTTTAAAGATAGAAATGGAATAGGTAGTGAGTAACAGATGTCACAAAATCCATGCACTTAAGTATAATGCAGTACTTCAGGTCCTCACTGAGTCAACTTACTCTTACTTTATACACTATTCTAGCTATCTGAGTCACCTGGTTCCCGAAACCAAAGCAGACTAGGAGTATTATGAAGGTGGGGAAAGGCTAGTGCTACAGGCACACTTAAGCAAGCAGTAATATAAACTGGAGGAATCAGAACTATTAGAAAACAAGAAACTGAAAAACGCAGAGCAGAGAATGGAGTCATTCAGTAAAGGGACATATAGCTCTCAGTGCGTAGTCTATCACAGCACACTAACTATTGGTAATAATTATCATTTTGACATCACAAAAGATTAAAATGTATTTCATATTATTTAGGAATGCATATTAAGTTTTAAAAAGATTTCCTTCAGAAATTATTCCAAAAAATTTTAATGCTTAAAGAGGTTAAGCTCTATAGAAAACTGGGATATCGAGAATAACTCATTCCCAAATACTCAGCTAGCTAGTTCTTACTAAATTAGCCATGCATGTTTAGTCTCAAACCAAAAGTCCTAGAATATAAATCTTGGTGAACAGACTTGAAATCACATTTAAAGTGCTGTAAGTTTTAAGTCTGTCTACTATAATAGGAAAAATTAACAAGAACAAAATATTTCCCATTGTCCTAAAATATACACAACGATTTATACAAAGATGATAGTTAAATTTCCTTTTATAGCTGAATTCATTAATGGAGAGACATAGAAACATCAATATATAAAAAAATTAATACTTCAAATGTATGGCAATCACATATTCAACCAAGTATTTTTAGCAAGTTCTTAGTAGAGAATTAAGAGGCAAACAAAAGTATGCTAAGCAGCCAAACAGGTACCACAGAGTCCATGCACTTTACTCACAGAAAAGCCCCTAGCCTTCTTTCAGTCTACTTACTCTTATTTTAGACACAATTCTAGAAAGCTTGGCAATCTGGTTTCTTAGTCCACAGCAGATTAGAAGCAGCAAATTAGGGGCCTAGTGCAGGAGGCAGGCACACAAGACAGCAGCAAAAAGTGACAGCTGATTATAAGGGAAGATAGAGAAACTGTGAAAAACAGACATAACTCAAAAAGCATAGCAATGCAGGGTCTTGTAGGAAAGGGGCATTATTATTTCTCAGTATCCCCTGTGCGTAGATTTCTGTTTATCACCCCATGATAGGAACTGATGTTCTTAAAGATGACAAAGAAAAAATTAAAATTATATCCTAAATACTTTAGAAAAAGTGGAGAAGTAGAAAGTACATTTTAGAAAATTTCCCATTGAACTGTTAAAAAAATTTAATGCTAAATGGATTTGCCTCAGTTACCTGAAAAATTAACTCATGCAAGATAGTTACCTGTGAATGATGACAGATAAATGAACTGTTACTGTAGTTAGGGCATTTTTTCCCATATTTTCTTTTCTAAAACATTTGTAGCTTCATTTTCTAATATAAGTGTGAATTGCATAGATATGTTCTTATAAATAGAATTGGAAGAATAAATCAATCTTTATGATTTGTCTGGTTGTGATTCAGGCATGATATCTACTTTAGTTCAAATAATGAGTTAGCTGAGCTATACCATAGTCTGATAGTAATTAGTTTTTGTTTTGTTTGGGTATAAAAACAATATACTATGATTAAACCAAATCAGTTGAACTTTTCTTCCTAGATGATTTCTAATCATTCATCAAAATATTTCATATTTTACATTACTGATAGTGTATAAATAAAAGTCAGTCACCAGAGCGAAATGCCCTGTAAAGGTCCCTTCTGATTAACACTCCATTTGACGTATAATTTTGTGAAATGTATTAGAATTTGATTCTTTTCATGCTTTAATATTAAAAGCTTTACCACTTTTATTATATGAATCAGAATATTACTATTTATTTTTTTAAAAATTGAGTTAACTTTTTAACCTGTTTTACTAACATATTTATAACCAGATCTTATTTTTCAGCCTCAAAAGTTTTGTTTCCTTTTAAATTACTTCTGAGAAGTCAGAAATCACAAACACTATTTAGGAATCCAGAGAATTTGGGTTTTGCTGGAAAAACTCCCCGTGACATTATTAGGTCAGCTACACCCATAGCTTTTAAATGATGGATGTGGGATTTAAACTCAGGCCTATTAAATCCTTAAACCCATATTCTTAAATTTCCTTAGTAATTTGCCTTAAATGTGTTTCTCCCAACTTGCTCATCTTCAATAACTTCAGAAATCAAACTTGAATCAAAGCATCAGTTCCTAATGAAATATATTCAGATGCTGTAAGTACAGTTAGTTTTAATGAAGACTTAATTTATGAAGTCAGATAATACAGACAACTTGTGAAAATACGCAGAGGACAGCAAATCAAAGACCAGTGAGGGTCTGGCCCAAGATAAGCCAGATACGCAGAGTTTTAATGAAAGCTGAAAAAAAGGGATTTAAGATATGATAACTGTCACCAGATCATTATTGCCATGACTTTTCTAACTGTAGGCAAAGGGTAAAAATCCTGTCTTCAAGAGTGATCTAAATAAATAGCCTCTTTCATGCATTCTTACATTGAATACTAGGTTTAAAACAAACTATGGAAATGTTCATATTAATAGCTGTCAGGATATTACTCCTAACAAGAATTATCCTGTCAAAATACCACTGTAAAATTTGGAAAGCACAATTACAAGTTTTCTCCACAAAATATTTTTCCCAGAGGGCTTCTTTTGGTTGTAGGATTTAATAGGCAACTACTAAAACTAGTCAAAAGCCTGGTAAGACAAAGTGAAATATTCTTAGAAAAGTAACAAACAAGAATAACTATTCACATTACATTAGCTTATTGTTTTATTTTCTAAGGTATCACAACAAGAAGAATAAAGTCCTAGACAGAGGTCTTAGATTTTACTGAGCATAAATATCAGGTCTCATTCCAAAATGACTAAGAATGACTGGGAGTATTGCCCCAAATCTGCATTTAAAAAATAGGACCTCCAAATTATTCTAATGTAAGTGCCCCATGAAAAAAGAGGGAAACAGTGACTTAGACTATTATAAGAGAACACTAGGAATTTTCACAGAGAAGATAATATTTTATCTAGGAAATATTTTAAAAAATGAAAGAAATTTTGAAAACAACACAAAAAAAGAATATTCAATTAAAGTTCCAAGATTCTTGTATCATGATTTCAACAAGTAGAATTTTCATGGAACTAAGTAACAACTAGTGAATAAAACAGATCAGACTGGAAGATTAGGAATTCCTGATTAAAATTAGTCTTTCAAAATTAAAAAGTATCACCTTAGAGAGCACTGAACTATGAGGATATTTTTCTCAAACTGGTGTAATAAAAATAAAATATAATAAAAGAATTAAAAATTATTAAACTCTAATTCTTCCTGTGTACAGTTATAGATTAAGAGAAAGATTATGAAGTTTTTCCATAATTACTTCTTCAAAATCCAAGGAAAAAAGGAGTTGGCAAACTAATTTACAAAGAACATAAACTCTCAGTATTATTATTTAAGAAATAATAGTCAGTTACCACACAAGGGTTTTTTTTTTGAAATTTAATTATTTCTAAGTGGTAAACTAGGCCCACCCTAAGATATTGCTCCTAAAGAGCTTAATTACGGATAAGTCGCAGAATTTTTGGCAACAGGCAGAATCACTTATAGTAGAAAGGCTCTCTACTCTACACATAAAGCAGAACAAAGTTTTTCCTCAGGATAAAAAATAAATATGCTTAGATTATTAAAAATAAAAATATCCCCTTCAGTATACGAAAATTTACTCACTGGAAGTGCTAAGTTAGAGGAATTCGAATGTGTTTCTTAATTCTAAAGACAATCTAGATTCATCATGTAATTTCCTTTGTAGGCCAGCAGCATAAATTGAGTTATCCCTATATTTTCTCCAAATAATGTCTATAAACTATGTCAATGCATAGGAGCTATAAGTTTCAAAAAAATATATACTCCTGAAAATATCACTTTTGAAAATGCAATCACAACACAAAACAGATGAGATTGAACAATTTGGAAAGCAACCTCTTTTAAGAGGTAGTATGTAATTGAAGTATTAAGGAGACAAGGATGCTTTCCAGCAGCTGACAGGATGTTTCCAGAATCTTATTAAGGTGGAAAGGGTATGGTCTCGGGCTAGAAATCAGCAGCATGGTGACCTGCTTGTGTTAATGGCACCCATTATCTCTAGGCAAATTGATAAAAAGAGCTTTCTGCAAAGTTGGGGATAAGGCCTTGGACCATAGGGATCCCACGCTGACATTATCTCTTTTAGTTGCAATAAGAACAGAAAACGATAAACACACAAAAAATTGAAAGGGTAATTCTTAAAATGGTACAATGTTTTTCTTTAAAAGATCATTAGGAAATCTTAGAATTAACTCGTGAATACACATATGACCAAGGAAACATAAGAAACACATCATAACCCAAGTACTTTAGAAACTACATTTTAGTTCCAAACCCCACTACACATCAATTGCATGGATTCAATTATTTTTTATTCAGAACCTGTATCTTTAAGACTGGTATAAACAAAAATAAAATACAAACAACTTGTTATTAACATAATAGCTGCAGTTATTAACTGCGAGAATACAGTAAAAAGGCGTCATACTAAATGTTTAATGTTCTTGCAACAGAATTATCCCAGTCATTTTATGGTAGCAAATTCTGGCAAGAAATGATAAATTCATTTGTTACTAAAAGTACTTAAAGAATTTCCAAGATCGATCAGTTGTGCTGCAAATAAAACAGCAGTTTATTCAAAAGAGCCCTTACCTTTCTCTTATTTTCCTAAAAGATCTGCTGTTTACAGGTAACTACTTTCAGATCAGTTGTTCAAACCAAGGTTCTTCCTGTAAATTCACATCTTAGCTTTATATGTAGTAAACTTATACTCATTCTCCCTTTCCAGTGGAATATCTAGTCTTGAAGCTAAAACACTTTCACAAAAGGAACAATTTCAAATTCTTCATGTAAATCTTGGTTCTTACTTTTCTTCTATCTCATTTTTATTTTCTTGTATTATTTGTTCTTCCTCCTCATCACCAAAAGTCTGCTCTTGCATGGTGGTAAAGGAGAGAGATCTAGCAGCCACTTCTGCAGCGAGGCCAGCAGTGAAGGTAAAATCTGGTGACAGCTGTAGCTGTGCCAGCCTCTGCTTGATGGAGGGCTGTGACGAGTCCCTGGGAGTTGGATGGGCAGTGGCCGGGCCACCTAAATCTGCCTGCTGAGATTCATCTTCACTGTCGCATTGGTAACATACTCTTTCTTCAGCTCTTTGGAGGAAGACTTCATTTGCAGAACTGTCTTTGTTTTTACCATCTAGAGGGTTTTCACATAAATACTCAGTCCTACTACTTATTTCATTGTCAGTTGTGGAAGGTTTACTATTTTCCTCTTCAGTATCGTATTTACCAACTTTCCCCACATCTGAATCCACTGATGGTTCTGAATTACTTATGGGTTCCACTGGGTCTACAGGAGACAAGGATTTCAACACAGCTTCCAAGGTAAAAAAAAAAAAAAAAAAAAAAAGAAAGAAAAATAATAACTAAGGACCCAGCAATGATTTAAACTTTAATTTAAATTCAAAGTAGTGTTTTTCTTTAAAGAACAATAAATAAATAAATAAAAGCTAAATAAAACTTTCTAGTAAAATCAATGTAAATTTATAAATCCAGAGAACTTCATAAGAGATAAAATGCCTAAGAAATGAAGTGAGATGGGTTTTAATGAAGATTTTAATACCTTCTTACTCAAAATATTAAAGCAGTGGTTCTCAAAGTGTGGTCCCCAAACCAACAGCATCAGTCAACATCTCCTAGGAATTTCATACAAATACAATTCTCAGGCCCCACCCTGGACCTAATGAATAGAAAACTGGGAGTGGTGACCAGCTATGTTTCACAAGCCTTCCACTTGATTCTGATGCACACGAAAGTTTGAGAATCATTGCATTAAAGAATAAGCCCATGGTTTTCACTGATAACGTGTCAGATAAAAGGCCTAAGAGTAACCCAGGTAATGATCATATGTTCTACACATATATATTTACAAGTTAAAACAGCATGGGAAAAAAATGCAACATATAATAAAACTTACTTGCCAATCACCTAACAAGACCCTGATGAAAGTAAAGCCGTAACTTCTACACATTTTGTAATGCCACATAAAAATATAAAATGAAATAAAATCTGCATTTAAGATCAACTACTGTACAAAGCATAATACATAAATATTATATCCATACGGCAGAAGTTGTCCTTTCAAGGAAAATGAAGTTTATATAGCCCCTCTTGATGTTAGTAGGCAGTGGGTTGCTTGCTAGGCAGTCTCTCCTCCCAGTATGAGGGGTTAGTACAATACAATATATTATGAAGCATGACGGAAGAAAAAAAGGTGCGTCTTGAAGATCTGGAGTTTATTTAAAAAATAATTTTGTAAAACGTGTCCATTTCCAAGAAACAAATCCCTAAGCTGCAGTAACTCCACTAGAGAAGCAGCAACAGAAAAAAATGGCCACAGCAGGTTCCATTGTAGAATGTCCCTCTCTAATTCCATTCGGACTTTACCCCTGTAGGCAGAGATGAAAACAACTCTGGAAGATGTACTGAAATTTTTAATGGGAAAAGCATTTTATGGTATCAGCAGCTTTTTACTTATTTTCACAAACTAAATCAGCATTATTGCCCTTTCAAACGTAAACTATCGAAAGCACATACCTGAAAAGAGACACATTTCTGTTGTTAAATCTTTGCCCATACTGTCAATAGGATAATTTTAAAGCTACATGAAGAAAATACTAAACAATAGAAAAAGGACCTAGGTTCATATACAGTGCTATTGTCAGTCTTCATGTACAGCTTTAGTCTATAAATCTGCCAGGTCTTAAAAAATGCAACATATATCAGAAGTTGATTGATATTCCTGATTACTGCTAATTAAATGGGGGAATATAATCTCAATCAATCTCTGCTTTCATTTCACTACAGGGCTCCTCTGGTGTGAGGGTCTGTAGTGGCAGGAAAGGTGGCAGGGCTGGAGCAGTCAGAGAAGGATTCACAGAGGAGACTGGTGGAGAGGACAGCTTGGTGGAAAAGACAGAATTCTTGGTAAAGGGATCAGCATGAATACTTTTTATGAATAAAAACAGCAAGTTTGTGGAACCACAGTCTAATTAGATAAATATAACTAGAAGAAGATATCTATATTAGAAATAGTGGGAGGGCCGGCCCCGTGGCTTAGCGGTTAAGTGCGTGCACTCCGCTGCTGGCGGCCCAGGTTCGGATCCTGGGTGCGCACCGACGCGCCGCTTCTCCGGCCATGCTGAGGCCGTGTCCCACATACAGCAACTAGAAGGATGTGCAGCTATGACATACAACTATCTACTGGGGCTTTGGGGGGGGGGGGAATAAATAAATAAAACCTTTAAAAAAAAAAAGAAATAGTGGGAAATACAATTGGATAGGATGGACTCATATGATGGAGAGGTTTGAAACCAGGAAAATGAGTTTAAATTTCATACAATAAGAAAGGAACCACTGTAGATTTTTAAGTTAAAGAGTCATTATAAATGTGCTGTTTGAGAAATATTTGGAATGAGCTTGCAGATACATCTTGTCCAATGTACATCTGGACAAGGGAGAATGGTAGCGCTCCTAAAAGAAGAAAAGAGAACCCTGAGGAATTTTCCAGAAGTATAGGTAATCTACATACTTCTAGTGAAAAAGGGGAAGGGAAAAGAAGGTGGTTGATTTTGGGCTCAATTCAACAAGGAGCTTCATGCTCAAAAATGGAGGGGAAGTCCCATTCTACTGTCTTAGAAATCCATAGGAATTAATTCCTCAACTAGGAATTAGCTAGTTTGATAACGTTAAGTATCAAGCTTCCCTTCATTCCCTTCTCCGCCTCCCATGAAGTTCCACTAAAGAAAAGAAGGGTAGGAAACATAAAGGAGTCTAAGGCTAATCTTAGGTATTTCCAGTCACCCAACTTTGTCCAAATCCAAGTCTGGAGACGGTATGCACAGAAGCACCTCCTCTTCTCCCATCTACTTACATGCTCAAATCAATTAAGCGACCTTAATGATGTAGCTAAGTGGCCTAGGTCTTAATTCATTTGTTTTAATAATAAACATGGAATTGTTACTTTGTGTTTCATTGAGGTATTTATAATATCAACATAAAGACAACAGAGTTTAGAACCTTGAATTCACTAAATTTGAAAACACTCCAATTTATTCAACTCATCGCCCATTCTAAAACAAATTTAGTAAAAAAATCAAATAACTGACGAAAAAGTGTGATTTCATATTCCCAATTTGATTATTTACCTACTCTTTTATTGATCAAATTGATTTTCTGTCTATTAGAAAAAGTACTATACTTACTGATGGATCCCTAAAATTAAAGCCATAAGAATTATATAGCTAAAATAAGATTCATAGTTCAAAAAAAAAGAATCCCCTACATTGAAATAAACTTGTACTCTGAAGTCAGTGCTTACCGTGATCACTAAACAGAAGTTGTTTCCACTTCTGCCTTTCTGCCTCCGATGCTTTAAATCCCAGCACAGATTTTAATTCTTGGAGTACCCTCTTGGATTCTTCATGCTCACGCTTCTGTCTCTCTCTGTCTTCTTGAGACAAGTAATAGAAATCATCCTTTCTGAAATCATTGTCCATATCTATATCATCTACATAAGCTTCTAACTCCTGAAAATGAAAATAAGAAAAAGCACTTTACTTCAAGCAGATAGTATTCTAGTAGCATTCATTTTCTTGCACCTACCCATCTCCAAGATTAAAAAATGAGGACTCTTAGCACAGGTCATTAAAGCAGTTGGGCAAACAAAGCAAACATATAGATAAATCGAAATCTTAAAACAACTTAACAGTTGATATGAAAAAGGGGTGTGGATAAGAAAGTTTAACAACTTTAAGCATTACTTTTCTAATCTGATACCATTCTATAGATCTAGTCAAGATTACAGTTAATTACAAGTTAATTGTCAAAACCAATCAAAATTGGCAGGGGTGGGGCTTTGGGGAGGTGGTCAGGTATATTAGTCTTTTTGTGGTGGACGTTCGTGGTTCTTTCTGACTTCCTAGGAAGTCTGAACACTATTCCTAGGACTGGGTGGGCAACACCTCATCTTATGGTTCTCCATATCACTAAGGCAGAGGGTAGGATCCTTGTTCACCCAGCCTCTCTTGCACTTATGGTTCAGGCAAGTAACTTGGGATCCTCAGATGTACCTGGATCAGATCTGATTCAGAAGTTTGTTATTAAAGAAGCAGGCATCGGGCCGGCTCCGTGGCTTAGCGGTTAAGTGCGCGCGCTCTGATGCTGGCGGCCGGGGTTCGGATCCCGGGCACGCCCCAAGGCACCACTTCTCCGTCCAACCCGAGGCCGAGTCCCACGTACAGCAACTAGAAGGATGTGAACCTATGACATACAACTATCTACTGGGGCTTTGGGGGGAAAAAAAT